GAGCTGGCACTTTGAACTTGGACTTAAAGCCTCCAAACTGTAAGAGAATAAACTCCTGTTGTTAAGGCCGTCCCGTTGGTGGTGTATCCTGTCAGAGCGGCACTAGGGAACCAGAACACACAGTAAGACCGGCCTGAGATTCAAGCCCCAAGCCTTGGGGGCCTGTGGGATGGTGAAGGCGGACAGAGCCCCCTGCTGAGTGGACCAGGCCCTCGCCCCCAGCTCCAGCAGGGACTCCTGGAGAAATGACCATCTGCTGCCCCCTAGAGCTTGGCTTGTGCAGGCCTCCACCAGTCGGGAGGGCCGGCTCGTCAGCCCCGGGCCCCGGACACACTGGGCCCTGGAGACTCTGAACCACGTCACACTCTGTGGTTCCTTACAAAACACGTGGGGAGGAGTGTGAGAGTGTGGGCCCTGGGGCTGTGCGCACTCACAACACACGCTCCACATGCTCACACACTCATGTACTCACACAGCCACACACACATTCACACTCAGAGATGCTCACAACACTCATAGACTCACAGTCACACACACACCCTCACGCTCATGCTCACAACACTCATACACTTAGTCACATGCACACTCATAAGTTTACACTCAGATGCTCACATGCCCTCACACGCTCATGCCCATCATCACGTACACACATGCCGTCACGCTCACAACACTCATACATTCAGTCACATGCACACTCACGTGTTCACACTCAGATATAACACTGAGCCACTCATACCCTCTCACACTCGTGCTCACACATGCTCACATGCCTCTCTCACACACACAGGCCGGGCTTGGAAATAGCTCTGGGTTGAGACAAGGCCAACTTTGTAATTTAAAATAATAAGATCTGACGGAGAACCCAGAAATGGACTCACACAAATATGCCCAGCTGAGTTGTGACAAAGGTACAAAAAAACAATATGTTGCAGAAAGGCAGTTCTCCTGAGGTACCATCGAGTCAACGCTGAGTCACAGCAGCCCTGCAGGACCCATGGAGGCACTAACCTTTATGGAAGTGGACTGCCAAGGCATTCTTCCATGGTGACTCTGGGTGGGTTCAAACCACCAACCTTTAGGCTGAAAGTCAGGTGTGAACAGTTTGTGCCACCCAAAGACCTTAAAAAGTAGCATATGTAAGTGTGTATATACATATGCAAATATACAATATGCATGCATGTAAATATGTGTATATAAACTGTAAAAACTCACACCCGACAGTCAAAACACACAGACACACTATCAAATGTAACAACAAATGCACACGCAGCAGAAGAGAAACTAGATGAC